AGCTGTTTGCTATGCCCGGTTGATTCCCTGAGACCCCGCCCCACCCAAGCTGTGCACAGAGGCTTTTGCATATGAATGGGCTGGCCCTTTGAGATCTAAAATTACCTAACAAACTGCAGCTGGGTCAGAGAGACCCAGAACATCCAAAAGAAGGCCCAAGGCCCCACAGCAGCTTGCACTGCTTCACAGCTGGGCCTCATCTGGGCACCTCCAAAACCCAAACAAGGAAGAGGAACCTGCAGATCTCTCCATAGCTCCTGCTGGGTAGCCTCAGGCAGAGGCTAAATTAGCACCTCCTTAGAGATCTAAGAGCCTGTGTACCCAGTGGTCAGATTGGGGCCATCCAGATTACAACTCCTCAGATCCATAAAGGACACACTCAGGGGGCAGACTCAGTGAGTACCAAAGCCCCACTGAAGCAAGTCTTGCCCCATAAGGGTGTCTTCAGCACAGAAGTTCTCCCACTGTAGACACAGCTGATTCTCACAGACAATTGGCCTGGAGGTCAATTCCTCCCAGTGATACCTACAACAATCAAGGCTTAACTACAAGACTGTGCACACAGCCCACAAAGGGGTGCACCAAGAGTGTCCACCCCAGGTAATTGGGGAGGCTGAGCCACTGGACCCTATAGGACACCTAGCACAGAAAGCCACTCTATCAACACAGGGAAGCATAAAAAATGCAGAGACAAAGAAACAGATCACAAATGACAGAAATGGAGGAAAGCAAACTACTGGATATAGAGTTCAAAACCACGTTTATAAGGTTTTTCAAGAATTTTCTAGAAACCGCCGATAAATTTAGTGAGACCCTTGAGGATATGAAAAAGGACCAACTAGAAATTAAGCATACACTGACTAAAATAAAGAATAATATACAGAGATCCAACAGCAGACAAGAGGATCCCAAGAATCAAGTCAGAGATTTGAAATACGAAGAAGTAAAAAACACCCAACCAGGAAAGCAAAAAGAAAAAAGAATCCAAAAATATCAAGATAGTGTAAGGAGCCTCTGGGACAACTTCAAGCATACCAACATCCGAATTATAGGGGTGCCAGAAGAAGAGAGAGAGCAAGATATTGAAAACCTATTTGAAGAAATAATGACAGAAAACTTGCCCTACCTGGTGAAAGAAATAGACTTACAAGTCCAGGAAGCGCAGAGAACCCCAAACAAAAGGAATCCAAAGAGGACCACACCAAGACACATCATAATTAAAATGCCAAGGGCAAAAGACAAAGAGTAAATCTTAAAAGCAGCAAGAGAAAAAAAGTCAGTTACCTACAAGGGAGTACCCATATGATTGTCAGCTGATTTCTCAACAGAAACTATGCAGGCCAGAAGGGAGTGGCAAGAAATATTCAAAGTGATGAATACCAAGAACCTACAACCAAGATTACTTTATCCGGCAAAGCTATCATTCAGAATTGAAGGTCAGATAAAGAGCTTCACTGATAAGAAAAAGCTAAAGGAGTTCATCACCACCAAACCAGGATTATATGAAATGCTGAAAGGTATTCATTAAGAAGAAGAAGAAAAAGGTAAAGATAAAAATTATGAATAACAAATACATACCTATCAACAAGTGAATCTAAAAATCAAGTGAATTAAAAATCTGATGAACAGAGTAAACTGGTGAATATAATAGAATCAGGGGCATAGAAAGGGAGTGGACTGACAATTCTTGGGGGGGAAAGGGGTGTGGGAAGAGACTGGACAAAACTCATACACCTATGGATGAGGACAGTGGGGGGGGTAAGGGCAGGGGGGGGGAACTGGGTGGAGGGGAGCTATGGGGGGAAAAAAGAGGAACAACTATAATAATCTGAACAATAAAGATTTATTAAAAAAATAAGAAAATAAAGGAGATTTTATACAGGTGTATATATAAAGTATTTGACAAGATTCAACACCATTTGATACAAATCCTTTTTAAATTAGGAAGAAAAAGATTTTTCTTAATTTGATAATGGGCATCTATGAACAGTCTATTCTAATATCCAACTTAATGGTGACATATTGAATGCTTTACATCTAAAATCAGGCAGAAGCCAAGGATGACCACTCTCACCACTTGTATTCAACATTTTACTAGTGATTGAAGCAAGTACAATAAGGCAAGAAAAGAAGGGATTAATATAAAAAAAAGGAGAGGTGAAACTCTGTTTGCAGATTTCTTACATAGAAAAACCTAAGGAATTCACAAAACAACGAGGAGAATAATCAAATTTAGCAAGTTGCAGAATATAAGCTCAATATAGAAAAATCAATTGTATTTAAATAGCAACAGCAAACAGTTGGGAAATGAAATGAATATTCCATTTATAATAGCATCAAAACATAAAATATTTATGCATACATTTAAAAAATATGTACAAGACTTGTGTATTTAAAAAACTACTGCTGAGAGAAGACCTAAAATAATGGAGAGATAGAATATGCTCATGAAGGAAGACTCACGATCACTAAGATGTCAGTTCACTCCAAATTAATCTACATATTAAATGTTATTGTAATCATAAGTCCCACCTCTTTTTTACATAGAAAGAGACAAGCTATTTCTAATATTTATATGGAAATACAAAGAAACTAAAATATGTAAAGTAATCTTAAAAAAGAAGAATCAAGTTGGGAGGATTTAGAATACCTTCTACTACTTTAAGACTTTCTATAAAGCTACAGTGATCAAGACAGTGAACCTGTGATCAAGACAGTGAACCTGGGCATAAAGAAAGACATATAGACAAAAGAATAGAGAGCTATAAAATAGGTCATTTGATTTTTGATAAAGGTGCCAAAGCAAACAGATGGAGGGCCTTTTCGACAAATGGTGCTGGTACTACTGGATATCTATGTAAAAAAAAATCTTGACTTTTACTTCACACAATATATAGAAATTAGAGATGGATCATATATAAAATATAAGAATTAAAACACTAATATATAAAATATAAGAATTAAAACACTAATGCTTCTAGGAGAAAAATATAGGAGAATCTTCATAGTTTGGTGGTAAAGGGTTATTAGGACCAGAAAGTAATAATCAAAGTATTAAATTGAATGAATTACACTTTATCAAAATGAAAAAAAAAGCTTCTGTTTATCAAAATACACCATTCAGAAAGTGAATAGGCAAGCCACAGGCTAGAAAAATATTCACAAAATATAGATTTAATATAGGGCTTGCATCTAAAATATATCAAGATCTTCCACAATTCAATAATAAGACAAGCAATCTAATAAAAATGGGCAAAAGATTTGAACAGACACTTCACCAAAAAAGATATATGAATACTAACAAAAAAGCTGCTTAACAGCAGAAGTCAACAGGGAAATACAAATTAAAACAACGAGTTACCTTTATATAAACTCTAAAAGCACTTAAATTAAAAAAGACTGTTGTTAACCAATTATTGACAAGAATGTGGAACAACTTGAACTGCTGCACATTGTTGGTGAGAGTGTAAACAGATATACTGTGAAAAAAAGTCTCATAGTTTTTTTATAAAGAAATATTCATTTCCCTTGGACCCAACAATTCTCTTAGGTATTTATCTAAGAGAAATGAAAATACGTATCCTCATAAAGACTAACAGAAGACTGTTTATAGCAGCTTTATTCAAGATAGCCAATAACTGGAAATAGCCAATATGTCCAACGAAAGGTAAATTGTGGAGTATTCATAAAATGGATTACTATTCATAAAAAAGGAAAAAAACTATTGTACATGCAACAATATGAATGGATCTCAAAAATAGACTAAAAAAACTTTAAAGAGTATACACCGTATAATTCCGTTTTTATGAGGTTCTAGAACAAACAAAATTAAACTATGGTGGGGAAATGCACAGAATTAAGGTTGCTTCTTGGTGAGTGGAGGCAGAATTGACTCTGAAGGAGCACAAGGGAACTTTAAACGAATACTGAACTTCAGTTAGTATTTATGGTGAAGTATTCAGGAGTGAATGCGCTTAAGTCTGTATTAATTTGAATGCACCAAAAAAAATTAAGAGATTGATAGAGGACTATCAGGGAAATACTAGTACAGCAAAATGTTAATTGAGCCATATATATGGATGTTCTTTCAATAATTATTTCAACTTTTCTAAATGTCTGAAAATTTTCATCATAAAATATTGGAAGAAAATTGTATTTTTAATTCTTCCAGCTCTCTCTCACTGCCTGTACAAACTGGAACTGAATTTTTATAAAGCCCAAAGGTGGTGTTATTTTCAGAGTAATAATTTTACCCTTTAAAAAAAAAACCCCAACAAACTTTAATACAAGATATAAATCAAGCCATTCCTTCTCACCAAAGAATGAATTAAAAAGAAGAGTGATTGCCCTAACCGGTTTGGCTCAGTGGATAGAGCATCAGCCTGCGGACTGAAAGGTCCCAGGTTCGATTCTGGTCAAGGGCATGTACCTTGGTTGCGGGCACATCCCCAGTGGGGGGTGTGCAGGAGGCAGCTGATCAATGTTTCTCTCTCATTGATGTTTCTGACTCTCTATCCTTCTCCCTTCCTCTCTGTAAAAAATCAATAAAATATATTTTAAAAAAAAGAAGAGTGATTTTAGTTTCACATTATGTATGTAATCTCTGGCTCTGATGGAGAAGTTCAGAAGTTTCATGCACTGTACCTCAGCTTAGATGACTACTTCTAAGGCTAATCATTTAAAGATGGGTACCTGTCTTGACTATAATTTTTTTAAAATGTAACTTCACCCCACCCTATATTTACTGAATTTATTGGGGTGACACTGGTTCACAAAATTATACAGGTTTCAGGTGCACAATTCCACAACACATCATCTGTACTCTGTATTGTGTGTTCACCACCTCAAGTCAGGTCTCCTTCCATCACCATTTATCCCCCTATACTGCCTTGACTTTAGTCTTTAGCACAAGAAAATATATTTGCTGAGTTTGGCCTCTCAAGGTGAAACTCAGGGATAGGATGTCAACAAAACAGAAAAAAACTTTTGGGTTTAATTACCTTTATCAAGAGATGCCCCAGCCATGTGGTAAAAGCTCAATGCAGTGTCCACATCATTAATATTCTTTAGGAAAGTAAAGAAGTTCTCCACTTCCTGAAATGTCAGACCCTGAAAGAAGAGAGAGAGCAAAGTAAGGCAGGAACCTCGAACAAAAAGCTGCATAAAATGCAGCAACGAGGCTGTTATTCATGTCGATCAACCAGAAATTTATGCTATGTCTAGAATAGAGACTGAATAAATTAGTCAAGGAATGTCAAATTTGAACACAACCGGGGAATAAAACTCTAGAATTTTACTCAGAGAAAAAAAAGCTGGCTAATTGCTTTCCTCTCACATGTAAAATATGACAAGATTGCTTTCACTGTTACAGTGGTGGCTGGATATCTTTAATGAAAATATTTCAAAAAAAGAAAAGAAAATATTTCAAACTGGGCCTTGCAATTAGTCACAATCATCTATTTTGATATTTCCTAAATGAGCTGTAGCCACTTGATCTGTCATACATCTTAACAAGACCAGAGTCAGGACTTCTATTTAAATAATCTACTTACAAGGCTAACTAAGCTTTTGAAGCTTAAGCTAATTAAAGAATCACCCTAAATCAGTGATACACACTGGAACGGTTTCAGAATGTAGAACCCAAGGACCTGGGAAGCTGTTCATTATCTCAATTTAAAAGCTATGGATAGAGCAATTTGCCACTTAATTTTAATTTGATGAAATTCTGTGAATGAAGAAATTCTTTTCAAAAGCCAGTCAAAGATTTGTTGACCTCAAATTCTACGTTCTATGAAGGCTCAAGAGAGAGTAGTTACATAAATAGGGGCTACAGGGAATTCCCTTACAGGGAGGAAGACTTGTCCTATTTGCCATTTCCCACTTTGCACACATCATGCTGTGATGGAATGAATACAATTTCTAAGAAGTAATTACCACTGAAGAGACACTGAGATCAACGCCTTTTAATGAAAAATCAGGTCCTTAATGGATTGCAAACGTTGGCGGCTTCCACTTAGTGCTGCTGCTCTTCCAATTTCCATTTCCCCAAACCACAGAGCCCAGGAGTCCACAATGATATCTCAGTAATAAGGAAACCTTAGGATAGACAATCCATAGTACTTTCCTCATATTCTCCAAACTGGGTCAATGTTATCTTTCTTATTTTATCAATCAAACTAAGAACTAAACTACTGAATGTATAATTCTATCGCATGATCTTTTATAGTTTATTCCCCAAGAATCAAAGAATTTAAACTTTTCCTTGTGGAATATGATGACCAAATAGAAAGGCACAGCCCTGGTCGGTAGGGTTTAGTTGGTTGAACATTGTCCCATGCACTGAAAGATCACCAGTTTGATTCCTGGTCAGGGCACATACCCAGGTTTTGGGTTTAATCCCAGGTCAGGGTGTGTGTGGGAGGCAACCAATCGACGTTTTTTTCTTTCTCCCTTCCTCTCTAAAAAATCAGTAAAAACGTATCTTTAAAAAAAAGGCACAGAAAAACATAAATGTACAACTTAACAACCTGTTGTAAAATGAACGTCCATAAAACCATTCAGGTCAAGGAACAGACTCTTATCAGCATCCCAGAAGAAGCCTCCCTCTGTCTCACCAACATGGCCCTTCCCAACCATAAGCCTCTTCTCTTCTCAGTGGTAATCATTTTTCTGATTTTTAGGGGCTACATTTCATTGTCTTTAAAAAAATAGCCCTATATATTATCCATTAATGCATCTTAAACAGAAATAAGAGTTTAGTTATGTCTTTTCTGAACTTTATAAATGAATCATGAAGTATGTATTCTACAGTCATGGACCGCATAATGATGTTTCAGTCAACAATGACTGTATATATGACAATGGTCCCATAACATTACAATGGAGCTGAAAAATTCCTATCCCATGTAGCCTTGGTAACATCATAGTGCTATGCATTACTCACATGTTTGTGGTGATGCTGGTGTAAACAAACCTACTGGGCTGCCAACTGTCAGTTGTATGAAAGCATAGCACATAACATGTGTTTCTGTAGTTAGATATATTTTGATACACAAATACTTACCATTGTACTACAATTGCCTACAGTATCTATATATATAAAAGCCTAAGCAACCGTTACGACCCAATGACTGGAATGACTGGAACAATCTGTCGATCAGTTGCTATGATGCACACTGACCACCAGGGGGCAGACACTCAATGCAGAAGCTGCCCCCTGGTGGTCAGTGTGCTCCCATAGCCAACCTCCTGCGGCCCCTCCCCTCAGCCCCCCCCTCCCTGGCTGGCTGGCCAACCTCCCACAGTCCCTCCCTCTGGGCCTCAATCAGGGAGCAGGCCAGCCAACCTCCCAGGGTTCCTCAACGTGGCTAGCCAGCCCCCAGATAGGCCTTGATTACCAGCCAGGCCAAGGGGTCCAACCCATGCATGAATTCATGCACTTGGTCTCTAGTTCAGTACATAACAGGTTAGGCTAGGAGCAACAGACTACATACCATATAACCTAGCTGTGCAGTAGGCTATAAGTTTGTGTAAGTACACTCTATAATGTTTGCACAATGATGAATTGCCTAACTACGCATTTCTCAGAACATATCCCTGTTGTTTAGCGGCACATGACTATAGTATATATGGCTTTTCTCTTTAAGATTTGTCCATATTTTTGTGTACATATGTAGTTCATTAATTTTTTAAAATATATTTTTATTGATTTCAGAGAGGAAGGGAGGAGAGAGTCAGAAACATCAATGATGAGAGAGAATCATTGATCAGCTGCCTCCTGCATGCCCCCCACTGGGGATCGAGCCCACAACCCAGGCATGTGCCTTTGGCCGGAATTGAACCTGGGACCCCTCAGTTCACAGGCTGACGCTCTATCCACTGATCCAAGCCAGCTAGGGCGTTCATTAATTTTTATTGCTATGACTATTCCATTGTGTAAACATACCAATTTATCCATTCTATTTGGGCTGTTTCTAGTTTTGGGCAATTATGAACAATAGTGTGGATAAAGCATTTATTCAAACATGTATGGAATACCTACTATGTACCAAGCTCTGTAATATTTGGCAGTGAAATGGAAGGTCTATACTAAATAATTTTTCTATAACTTGAGGTCATTTTCTTGGCCTTGACTTAGAGCAGTGGTTGCCAACTGGTGGTCCGCAGACCACTGGTGGTCTGTGAGGTCTGAAAGGTTGGTGACCGCTGACTTAGAGCATCCAGATGTAGGGCTCATTCCTTCTATGAATGCCGCAGTATGCTAAGGTAAGCACTAGGCTAGAATCGACCTTATGGAGAATTACAGGTTCTACAATATCAGCTGCTAGTGGATGGATACACTAATACCATCTTCTCCTCCCTTCATCAAAAGACATGCAGAGTTGAAAACAACCCAAGTGTCCATCAATAGATGAATGGATAAAAAACTTGATATAATAAAATATTATTCAGTCTTTTTTAAAAAAAGAAATTTTGACACATGCTATGTAACATGGATGAACCTTGAAGACATTATGCCAAGTGAAATAAGCCAATTACAAAAGATTAAATGTTGTATGATCCCAAATATGGGAGGTATTTAGTGTAAATTTAGAGAGACAGGAATTGAATGGTGGTTGCCAGGGGCTCGGGAGAGGGGAAAATATGGAATTATTGTTTAACTAGAGGCCCGATGCACGAAATTTGTGCAAGGGGCTTGGCCCTCACAGCCACAGTGGCTTGCCTCGACCCTCACAGTCCCGGCTTCATCCGGAAGGTCATTCAGCTGTCCGGTCTAATTAGCATATTACGCTTTTATTATTATAGATGAGTACAGAGTTTCAGTCTGAGAAGATAAAAAGAGTTCTGGAGATGGATGGTGGTGATGGCTGTACAACAGTGTGAATGTACTTAATGCCACTGAATTGTACACATAATGGTAAATTTTGTTATGTATATTTTTAAAAAGGCTTGCTAAAGCTTTTTTACTTTTCTTATTAAGGTGTGAATTTTTACGGCAGGGGGACAATAGGGACCTGAGTTATTGAAAGGGTTTTGTAAGGCCAATAGGTTAACATAAAATTCCAAAAACAGAAAAGGCATGACAGTGAAAATGCTCCCTACTCTGACAACCTTTAATGTTTGTTAATTTATTTATCATGAAACATTAAAAAATACAGCTCAAGACCAGAGTGCTTATGCTGAGAATCATTTGAGGACAGACAGCTAGGACAATCTGAATTGAGTGACTATTCATTTGATAATTAGAAAAATGGTGGCCTACAAATCACATTACAGTCAAACCTTGAATGTCTCCCATCTCGAACAATGTGGTTATCAGCCAAGTTATTCACAGAACAAATGTCTGACACCTCTTTCAAGCTAATACCTCAGTATGACAAAAAGCATCTCTCATGCAACAAAGGAGGGAATGCTTTTGTTGCTGGCAAAATTAACCATTAGCACAGTTTTAAAACATAAAGAGGCCATCAAGAGTGCTAAGGTTGCTAAGGGTGTGAAAGAAACAATGATTACAGACAATTAAAGAGGTAGAAAAACTGTTGATTTAGATAAACAGAAAAGCAGTTAGCCCAGCCGTGGGCAAACTACGGCCCACGGGCAGGATCCGGCCCATTTGAAATGAATAAAACTAAAAAAAAAAAGACTGTACCCTTTTATGTAATGATGTTTACTTTGAATTTATATTAGTTCACACAAACACTCCATCCATACTTTTGTTCCGGCCCTCCAGTTCAGTTTAAGAACCCATTGTGGCCCTCGAGTCAAAAAGTTTGCCCACCCCTGAGTTAGCCAGTGACAGCCATTTTGAAGGCAGTTATTATGTGAATAAGCAAAGATGCTATGTGCGGGCCTGAAAGGCACCCCTGGACCGAATGCTGAAAGTGATTCGCCTGCCTGGCTGGTGTTGCTCAGTGGTTGAGCATCGACCCATACCAGGAAGTCATGGTTTGGTTCCCAGTCAGGGCACAGGCCTGGGTTTCGGGCTCAATCCCCAGTAGGGGGAATTCTCTATTATTGATGTTTTCTATCTCTCTCTCCCTCTCCCTCTCCCTTCCTCTGTGAAATCAATAAAAACATATATAAAAAAAAAAACAACAACCAAAAACTTT